GATATAACGAATAAAATATCTAATTATTCTTTATATAATGTTTTACTATATAGCCCAGAAAATTGTTTTTCGCCCCCAAAATATAAATTGTTAGTAATCGCCCCGTCAACATGGAAAAATGCCCACATGGGGGCGATATCGCCCCCGTTGTGAAACACTGTTCTATGGTCTTTCCCTTCTTTTATATCTAAACAGTCAATCCATCATTTACATTCTAGATCTCTTCTACATTTTTATCATTCTATTTTTCATGAATCATTCCTCTTCCTTAAGTATACAAGTCATTAAGTCTTTATGTACCCAAACACAAATTCTTAAATATACAAATCTATTTATTTCAATTTCTGTTTTTTTACCGGTTCAGCCAGGAAATCTATTCACACATTTAAAACTTAACTCTTCGAATGAATGGTTAAAATATTTTATATATTAATCTCTAAATTTTTTTAACTTCAAATTATTTCTATTGTTGTATTTTACAATTTAAAATTTATAGCCGTGATAATTTCTGTGATAATTTTTAGTTACATATATGGAATCGAGAGTTATCAGTATGAAAAAATAATTAAAAAAAACAGCTAATAGCTAATCACAAAACATCGCTAAACGTGGTTTTTATTTCCTTCTTGGAATATTCGCACTTAGCTCGAATAACGATAAAAAGCGACGACGAGAAGAGGGCGAAAATATGTCGCCTGACCTGTAGGCCATTATTTCATTTTCATTAAATCCTAATTATTTTGTTCACTTCGACTCTTTTCCTCACATATATTGAATTATACATAAATATATATAATAAAACGATAATAAAATAGCAGCTGAAAATCTGAACCTTGAAAATACAATGAATACGAATGTGAATTGATCTAAATATAATTTTAAATAGCATTTCAATAACTATTTACATCAAATTTTTTCACCCTCTTTGAAGCTTAATAACTCCTGCGCTTTTTGTCGGAAATTTCTGAAATTTTGCAGGGAGGTTTGGATATTAAGGGGATTGATGCTATAGTTTGGTGATGAATGGCCGAAGGATGGGAGGTCACGTATTATATCTCGAGTGGGATCAGACTTAATGAAGATTTTACTCGCTATTAACATTCACAACTTTTTTTTTTTTTATAAAACTTGTATATACGCTCAAAATTCAGCTTTTTGCCATTTATAATAATTAATATAAAATGTTTTAAAATAAAATGTCATAATAGATGAATCACATACAATTTTAACTTTATTGCTGTGAAATTTACGCAATCCGTTGTTGGATTTTTTATGACAGTTTGCCATTCCTGACTCCATTCATAATGAAGAGGATACAAAATTTAAAAGCACAATTTCGAATTTTTACTTTAGATTTTGTTCAAATAATATTTTCCACAAACTTTTGTGATCAAATTTAGTGAACTATATTTTTATAGTCAGTATTAATACTAATTTTGTTCATGACACCTCAAATGTTGTATGGAATATTTAAAATTCAAATATAACACATTTACCACTAAAAAATCTACAAAAAAGTCTTCGGCTTGCTCTATTAATCAAAATATAGTATTTTCATTAATAAATGTCTACGAAAGTCAACTAGTTGTATTATTTAAAATCACAATATTATGACTTAATATACAGTGAATTTTAAAGTAAGGATATAATAAAATTTCTTTACAAAAATAAACGTATTCAAATTTTAAGTCTTCGTAATGCTTCAAATGACACAATTTCTTTGATGTCAGTTCTAATGATTTTTGAAGCATCTAATATTAAATGTCAAATTTCTGAAAATAAAAAACACACCAAAAAGTATCAAAAGAAAATAAGCTGTATTGAAATTCATTGAATTTCTGCATATTAATTAATTGTGTAAGGCAAATATAGATTAATTATTTTTGTTCACATAAGCTAATAATAAGTAATAACGAAATTGAATATAATTATTTACTATTTCTCTACTAATGAACAATGACATAATACTAAAAGTAAAAGTAATATCATAATGATGATGATGAATAATACAGAATTAAAAAATATGGGTTGTAGCTACGAATAATTATAAGGATTACTTATTTTCATATTCCTTATTATGTATTAAAAAACATGTTGAAAATAAGTTATTTTTACAGAAGGTGTTATGCTAAATGATTAAATTTATTTTAATTTAAAGTAATATAATGCTTTAGTATAAAATAAATGAATAGATAAAATTATTTAAATATTCGTAATGATGATTATTTTGGAAACTTTCAGTGTGTATAGCAGTTCATTACCATACGGTTTCAATTTGAATGAAAATATACGGCATTGCATAGTAGAATTAAATACAAAAATTCAATTTATCTGCAGTTTAGAAGATAACATTATGACTGCAGAAGGCTTACTAAAACTTTTTTGAAACACTTTATCATGATTGAAGACTGTGTAGAAAGCAAATTGTTAAGAGTTAGTAGAAACTAGTTAAACAAATTTGCAAAAGTAGTTCTTCATTAAATGTTTAAAGTATCTTAATTAATATCGGTTGTATATCATTTTTCTATTTAAATCAACCATTATCGAATATATGAATTTCTTTCAGTTTTGGAATGATAATATTTCTGTGAATTATAATTACTTGTATTTTGTGTAATTTAAAATAAAATCATGTAGTATTAGAGAAAATTATTAGAACTTTCCATAATTAAGGTTCAACTTTTCAACTTCTGGAAAGATTGTGTTAGCATTAGTCACCAAACCCAGTTTTACAAAACATTAGTTCTCACATTTTTCTCTTTTTCCTTTAACTTGTAAGAATCATTTCTACAATATTTTTAAAATTTTATCTATTTTTTAATTTCAATATAGATTAAAATTTGTCGACTAAAAATTTACTTGCTTTCCTATTTAAAACTGAACCTTATGAATATTGCAATTATCGGACTGTTTTTCACTTAATGAAAAAAATTCGTATTTTGATTGATAAAAATAAGAAAACCATAAACTTAAATTTAGAATTTTGACATAATAGGAAAAATATTTGCAATAATAATATATAATTTCACAGAAAGACATTGTTTTATATACAGTAGAGCATCGATTATCCGACTCAATTGGAGACTCAGGTTGATCGGATAACTGAAAAAATCGGATAACCGAAAAGAAGGAAAAAATACATTATTAGTATAGTATATTAGGATATTATATTATCCCATGTAATTAGTTTATTAGTATATCGCTATTAATCAACTTTGCTTGAAATTTCATTTATTTTGAATTTTCATTGATGTTTAGCCTAACAATTTTTTTTAAAATAATAATCGTCGCTATTGTATCGTTAAAAATTTTTTTTATATTATTTTATTGCTCACGAAACAAACAACCACTCATAATTAGAAAATTAAGTCTCGTTTAAATATTGTCTCCCTTCAATGGTCGAGCCGTTGATGCCAGCTAAAACACGCAAAATTTAACAAAAATAATATTAAAGTAGCCAAGACATAGCCAAATATTGTAATGCCACATCACTAGCGGACATTTGAAATTTGCCGACTAGAACGGTCGGTTAACCGATGTGAAGGTTAATCGGGGGTCGGATAATCGATGCTCTACTGTATTGCAATAGTAGAAATGTGAATAAAATCGAAAGTTGGAATTACCAACATTTTAATTTATATTTATGATCATATCATTTTCACATTGTAAAAATTTGTTAATTACACTACCCAACATGATTTTCATCTCCGAAGAAATAAAGATGGTTTCTTGTCACTTCCGATGCCTACATTTCGAAAATCAGCAAGAAAATATCCCATATCATAGTTTTTTAGATATTAAAACCCCTAGTCACGATACAATATTTGGTAACCCATAGAATCAGCTATCTGTGCATATACACATATAAAATAGATGGTACAATACCATCGATATTAAGAATTAATACTGTAGAAAGTGAAATAAAACAAGCAGCTGAAAGTTAAAACTGATACATCACATTCCTAAACTAGATTAGTTTTAAACCGAAACTGAATTTCGTTGCTACGGTTTTGTAACAATTTGTTGAGATTTCTTTGACAAATAGCATTTGAATAAATCTTCATTTACACTCAACAAATTCATTTTATCTTCAGATTTTAATGAGAATATGTAGCAACCATAATCGGACAGACTACAGTAATTTCTGCTATTTGAGATGCCAGGTATAGTCGGCATAGTCAGTCATCCAAAATAGGAATATGTCTTCACTGATTTGTTAACGGCCAAAAAATAAGTGACACTTTTTTTACTCTGTTATTTTATTTTATTCCATTTTCATTTTACCATGTGTTATAAAAATTACATTTAAAAAAATACAGTATTAAAATATGAATAAAGATCATATTTAGCTAGTTGAACAGCTGCTTTTGGTGCAAGACTTTTGATATCCTGCAGGATCGAAACATGGTCAGGATGTGTAAAAATGTGGATTTCCATTCTAATATATCTGACAATGTTAAAATGGTGTAAATAAAAAGATCATTTGTATCATTACACAATGATGTGCCTATATCTTTTTATCCTTGCGTGATTGAAAAATTTGAAAGTAATTTTTAAAACCAGAATAATTTTTTATTTTGAAATCAATAAATCGTTTTTTCAGACAATTAGAGTTTTCCCCTTCATCCAGCGGCTGATTACATTAAGTACAACAACAACAAAATAAAAAAAAATAATAATAACAAAATAAATATATAAAAAAAGCATTATTTTAATGCCGGATATAGAAAACTTTGTTGAGTAGTGTTATTATATCACAACTTTTAAAAATTCATTATGTTAATAATATTAATATAATAAAGATTATTGCAATAATTCAAAATTTACGGCAATTGATAAAATAATTAATTTCAAATCTAAATTATAAGACACGTACAACTTACATTAAAAATGAAAATTGCAAAAATTTATAACGTTTATGAATTTTAAAACTACAGAGATTATTTTCATAGTTGCAAATTTATATTTTTTAAATATTGATACTTTAACTGATTTTCCAGATATTAACTGAAACCATATTGGTTTCTATACAACCTATTTCATTGTAGGATGTGGACAAACACAACTTCTCTTTTTTCTACTCATCTATCATCTCTACTATTCATTGTTTTCATAGGCAAATTTCACAAAGAATGGAATAATTTGGTGTTATTGACAAGTAAGCTGAGAAGTTACATTGTATTCCAAGAACTGAGTAGCTTAAAGATTAAAAAAAGGAATTTCTTTCCGAAATTCTTATCAGAGGAATTCATATTTAAATATTTCCGATAATTTGGTTTTTCGTGCACAGAAATCAATGATATTAACTATTTTTTTTCAGTTTTCTTGCTAAGATACGATAAGTATTAATTCACTAGTCTAGTAACTTTGTAAAATGTAGTATAATCTACCTGCATGAACAAACTAAAATTAGAATTAGTATATCTTCGATATAAAATTAGACTTTTCCTACAAAAACTTTTCCCATTGTATGTATAATAGACCTTTAATGTAGTTACCATTTATATACCTTATTCAAATTGTCATTAGTAGCTGCTACATTTCTGAGCGAAACAGAGAGGGAAAGCCATAATTAATTTACTTTTAAATATTAAAAAGTATATCATTATTAATAAAACCTGTACAAAAGTTAAAACTAACCATTTATTTGTTTATAAGTTTAAAATTTGTTGTATAAGTATGGCATCGTCTCATTAAGTGCTCTTATTGGAACTTTTTGTTATCACGTAGGAAGATATCATCATATAAAAATAAATTTTAACACTGAAGTAAGCAAAGAGGATCTTAGAAAATGAGGCCAGTATGATTGTTATAATAATGTCAATATGCTTTCTTTAATAGTGTATATCGAAGTATCTAATTAATCTATGTCTATTTATTCCTCGCATTTCCAACTCATAAGATTTTTACATGAAATTTGAAATTGCCAAAATTTGTCTCCGCTGTATATATGTAATGAATATTTTCTGCAATCAAAATTTATAAAGTGCAATTAAATTATTGTATGTGCATTTTTATTCTTTGCAATATGTATTACTCGCCTAACTACTAGTATTTAATCATATATTATTTATCATTAATCTTTCTGGTAACAGGAAATGTTATCTTCTGAATTATTTTAACAAAATCATAGCTGATAGTAAATAGGCTATATAAATTCGTTATAACGAACCTTCCTTTTAACCTTCTTTTAAATATTTACTCCAAATTTTACGTATAAATCAATTAAGTTAGCATTAGTTTAAATGATCCTTCAATTATAATGAATTATAATTTTGCTTACTTCCTGATGTAAATTCTAATAACCAACCATTCAAAATGCTTGTTGATAAATTCTTCATTATTTTAAATTATTAGTTGTTTGATAGTCAGGTCATTATTTTATTTTATTAAATATTAAAATAGTAATTCTTTTTTAAAAAGAAATAATTATTGTAATAAAATCATAAACTTTTTATTTAATATGATAAGCTTTATAGTAATTCGTGCTTATAACAGAATGAAAAGTCGTCAGGTTAACATAAGTCATTGACAGTTCTATCTAATAAGATATTTAGAAAATATTGGCCATCTACCTAGAGTAGTTAACATATAAAAATGAACTAATACAAGAAAATATTTAAATTACTGAGTAAGAATCTGTAAGAATAGAAAAGTATCAAAGCTGTTGTTTTGATTAATTTTAGCTGTTGATTTTGCATTTTGAAACAAAATTTCATCTAAGAGATTATATTCATTGGTTGTAAATCCAAGAATTATGTAACTAGTGAATTACTTTAATCCTTTCTGACATGGAAGTTTCAAATTAAATCATATCGAGAATGATTTTTAATTCATTATTAATAAGCCGGATTAAATAACCCTTGTTTCGTACTGTAAATGCTCTCTCCAGGAAATATTTGAACTATTTAAATGAGAAAAATTTTATCATCAGAGAAGTGTGTTTATGTTTCAGTAAAATTGATTTTTAAATCCTAAAAAAAAATAGTTTCCATTTATAATAGTTTTGTTTTCTTAGCAACTTCATATTTTTCATATATTCAAAATAACTCGAACATATTTGTATATTATATTATTAGATATAAATGCAAAGGTTATAATTGAAACCATTGTGAGCATTCGCTATTTTCTAATACTCTTATCTTATAAAACATGTTAAAAAAATTAAATTAAATTACTTAATAGTTCATCTAATGGAAAGTAGGTAGTAATATAAGTACTGTACTTACAGTACTATAGTAGTGAAAAATGTAAATAATACCAATTTAAAAATTAATAACAGGGATTCAAATATAAAATACTTTCTAGAAAACTAAATCATACAAAAAATACCCAATATTCAAACTTCATTAGTTATATCTGTTAAAATATCAATATTTTTAATTGCAATATTAATCATAATGTTAAAGTTTACAATTCATCACAAATATATGTTATACTTATACTGTACTTCATTCTAATATTACTTATATGATTATAAAGTACTATTGACATAAATTTTTTCAGACTATATACAGACAATGAAATTTATCAATAGAAGAACTTAATAATTATAAGACTAATTTAAAAAAGTTTAAAAATTCATGGATTATCTAATAAATTTGTTATAAAATTCAAAACATACTCCTAAACAATTATTTTATTTATAGTTATTGCGAAAAGCTTAAATATTCTTATCTTGCATCAATTGTGAAAGGGTAGCTCACAACGGTTTCAAATAAAACCATTTACATTATTGGTCACTATTCTTATATACATAGCAATTATATTTATAGATATCAATATAAAGAAGTTATTAAAAACGAAAATGATGAATTTTTGCTTAGATAAGTTTATGAAATATCAGTGATATTTCATAAACTTCAATGACATTAATTTTAAAATATCCAATCTAACTACAATTATAGCTATGTACAGGTATGACATTTAATATTCTAAAAATTTAATAACATATTTTAATTTTCATCACAGAGAGAGCAAATTATTTAATTTAAACGAAGTTATGTTAAAATATCCTCTAAAATGACATAAAACATCACTTTAAAATTCATATTAGATCAATCATTTGTGCAATATTTCCTCTGCATAATTCTCTTATATTTATCGCAAGTTAATAATAATAATAATAATAATCTGAAACGGATCTATTGGCAACTTTGGCACCTTCGCAAGACAAATTGCTTAGATGAATTATTATATTTATCTGAAAAAATTATGAAGAATATTGAAAACATAGATCTCTTAGCTACACTTTTTAAGTTTCTTCTCATAATTTTTTTATTTAATAACATTATGTTTCTACTTTGTCTATTTTCAACGGTAAACAATTTTGATTGGAAATATATATAATTTCAAAACTCAAAGCGATAATATAAATTTTAAGTAACATTTTGTTTCGATTATTTTGGGAGAAATTAAACTGCGCAATTCGAAAATATGAACAAAATTATTTAAACATAAATGAAATTTATATATTGACAACTAATGAATAGTTGTCCCATCTAATGTAAAAATAACTCTAACTTCTCAATTTCAGTTTTTGCATTTGATATTTTTTTTCACGTTATTAAATTTTAATATTTTTATAAAACATCTAAAGTGTTTATAATTTTATTATTTTTGTATTATTTTTAATTTTATTTTTAATATTTGACAAAACTTTAAGTGAATTACATATTAAATGAAAGTTTGTTTCGTAGATACTAAAATTTTTCGATATTCTTCCTTGATCCGTCCTAATGATCAATGTAATGTATAACATCGAATCATGCATAATATTTATACATAAGAATATTGCAAGTCATTTCTGAAACATTATGAATATTTGCAGTTAATAAAGAAAGAATTAATGCAATATTCTCATTATGCACGATATTCTATTTATATTCTCTTATAAATAGAGTGTCATGTAATTTATACTGCTTTGTATTAAGTAGTGTATTCTATAAAAGTTATATACGAGTCAATTACAATATTACAATTATGAAAAACAAAACAGTTGCACATAATGATGAACTCTTATATGCATCAATAATATATTTTAGGAAACAAAGTTACACATGAAAACGTCACTTGAAGTGAAAATGAATTAGTTCATTCCTTTTTTAATAAAAAGAAAAAACTGATCTCTAAGGTTCCTTTTTTGTATGCCGAGGTCAACAAAGTATTTAATAACCCTTACGTACAATAGTATAAGTTGACTGATGGCAGGAGTGACCGTATTAAATAGTTCATTTTTAGAACTTTCGCTTCTGTTCTATTCTTTTAGATGGTATTTTTTATTTTATTTCCCATATATTCCACTTTTAATATACTTTAACATTATTTTAATACTACTTATCTGAGATGAGGCTCTCTTTAAAACCAAACTATTTCTGACGTTCAGAAAATATCATATTTGTGCCAAAATAATCATTTTAAAATAGAATTGTTTTTACTGACAAAATTCGATTTTAAAGTGTCAAATATAAAGCAAATTTATAAAATATTTAATAATTGAAGGTAGGCTATACATCGAACAATAAAAATGTAAATTTTAGTATGTATCATAAAATATATTAAGAAACTCATCCAGTTTCAAAACAGCCAAATTAACTACAGTATTCAATTTCTAATTGTTTTAAATAACGTCTATGTTCACATAATGTTACGATTAAAGAACTATCCTTAAGGTTCGTTATAACAAAATTTTTGTTGTAATTTGCAGAAATATCATAAATGTTTTAATGATGTATTTCAGATACATATTTTTTTTTAGTACTTTTTATAAATGTTTCTGTTTTAATGAAAAATTTCTTTATTCCGACCATTTTTAAGGTATGTCGCGTCTATATATATATTAAAATGTATATAAAATTTTAAATAAAATACTAATTTAAGAAAAATGCACAATTGGCAATAATATTTTTTATATAGAAATTCTGTATACTTTAAAACCCTTACAATTTTTCTAATATTCATCGTATAGTAACCATGCAGAGGACCTATATTCTCTTCATTATAAATAATTATTTAATTTAATTTATAATTAACTTTCATATGAAAATCCAATTATTAATATCGGTTTAAATTACATGAAATATTTCAAATATTATAAAATAATAAATAAAATATGTATATTAATTAGCAATTTTCAAAACGTTAGAAAACTGAGAAAGTTCAATGTTGTTGAATATCTTACACCAAAAATTTATTTGAATTTCTTTTGAAGAATATTATGATATAACTAGTTATTTTTTAAAAAAAAGCATAAAATTTTATTTAAAAAAATTGACAAATATCAGATTATTTTATGCTGTAAGAAACTAATCCTGAAATTTTGACAGCATTGTGAAATATTTGGAAAAATGCTAAAATATCCAGAAATTATAATTATAATAATATTTATAGTAATAGCACTCTTAGTTTCAAACCTGAGACAACGCTTTTAATTCTGTTTGTTTTTCTTCTAATAATTGATTTGTTTACAGGCAATTTTTTAAATTACATTTCAACATTACTTTTCGAAATGCTTCATACAATAGCTCATTTTGGATTTTACATGAAAGAATTTTTTCATTTCTTTGATATTCTTATTGTTCTAATGAAATGATATTTTTAGGATTATATTGTCTATACTAGCACTTGAGAATTTGACTCATATGACAGCACATGAGTTAATTCTATAATAATTCTATACGTGTATAGAACCTAATTCTGTGGAACTTTATTAGTTTTGCAGTAGTAAAATTTCATATGTATTATTTTTTAAATTTCGTTTAAAAGAAATCGTAATGTTTGACTATTTACATTAAAATATTTATGAAAACAACAAAATAGATCGAGTTTGTAGTTTAATTCATTATCCAGAATGCTAATATGTTGACTAATTATAAAACTATAAACATTTCTAAGAAAAATAACTAAATAAATAGTAAACTAAATCAAAAATATCCAGTAAAATCATTTGAGACTATGATAATATCGTAATCTTGTACGAATATTATTACATTGTTGTTCTGAGTTAACTCCCATACACATATAACAAAAGATTTTTATGCTTAACATAATACAATAAGATATCTGATAGCATGAGTTAAAAACTAAAATTGTGCTGTAGCATTTAAATTTTAAACGATTTGAATGGCTTTTAAATGCTTAAATGAAGAAAATTGTTTATTAGAATCCTTATATCTTATATCCTTAGAATCCTAAATATAATTAGAATCCTTATGTTCATAGATTTGGGGAAATAGACTCATATCAGTTATTTTATTTGAAACAAAATTTTAAGTTACCATATAGATGTAGGTTATTATTCTAAGTCAAATTTTAAATTTAATCGTTAAGACTATAATATAATACTGTAATTAAAATAACAACCTAATTTTCTTTTGCAAAAGTTAGAATACTTCTCAACAAAAAATATTTTTTCAACTTTTATGATTAATAACTATGTATAAATACATATAAATATACTTAACGGTATCACATCATAATTGTAAATCACAACATCATATATAGAAAATTAAAAGTTTACAGTTAAAATAAAATATATATTATTTGTAAACTCTCTTTCTCTTACATTTTTATTGCATATTTATAGTTTATTGTATATATTATTGTTAAAATTATATACTCTTACTATTGATTAAAACGTAACTGAAGAAATAATAAAATTTATTATCTAATTGTTCTTAAATTATTCATTATATTTATCGTGGAAGAAATTTCTGGAATTGTTTGAAATATTTTTCGTCATTCTTAATTAGAAGTATGTATTTATAGCACCATAACTTTATACTTAAATCTTTAATAAAATCAAAATAACGTTTAAATTTATTATGCATCTAAATCAGCAATACTTCAAAATCATAAAATATTCCAAGAAATATTTTTACTTTTAGAATTATTGAATTCAATTTCAGAAAGAGAGAAAAAGAAGCACATTTATTCATCGTTTTAATCATCGTTTTACATATAATTCGTACTTAATGCAAAATTTATAAATGCAAGCAACTCTTCAACAATATTGAGTCTGAAATAAATTTTTACGTTGCTGTATTTAAGACACACACATATATATATATATTGTAAAGGTTATTATACTGTACATAGACTGTACTAGTACATAGCCTTTTATCC